AAAATTCGTTAGAATTTCGACAGGTTATTTACTAATAGTTTATTATAATTTTGACAGAATTTAGACAGTCACTAAGAGATTTCGGCAAGCAACCTTAGTTAGGAGTGTTATTAAAGATTTTTATATATGTTTTAAGTAACTAAAATTGGAAGAGACTAATTTAATAAAGGTAAATAATGATATGTTTATTTTGTTGAACTGCTAGAATGAGTTTAGAAAACTTCTTTTTAATTTAATTGATTTTAATTATTAAGTAATCTTTTTTTATTGATTAACTTTTTAATAAAATTATTTTCTTCTTTTATTATAAATCTAAATAATATTAATTAATTTACAGAGTAGTGATAAGAGATTAATTATGTTATTATAGATAATATTACTTGTTATAAATAGAGACCTTTTAAATATAAAAGAATATAAATAAAAAAGAAAAGAGATAATTAATGCTTGACTGAAAATTTTTAACTCAAAACCTATAATACAACTTACTTCTAAGAAGATTTTGTCAAAAGAAAATTAAATTAAATAAGAAGATTCAAAAGTTAATAATTATAAAAGTATTAGAAGATTAATTCTAAAAAGATTATTTTTCTAAGCTAAGATACATATTATATTTATACAAGTTATTATTACTTAATCTTTAAATATTAAAGTTATTTTTGATTGATATTATGGTTACAAAAAGCACTCACTTGATGATTATATATCATTCACTTGCTTGATGATTGTACATTATTCACTCTAATATTACATAAATTTCACTATTAATATCAATCAAATTTTGATTATATAGATTAATTAACACATATTTTTTATATAATAATAATAATATGAATTAAATATGATTAGTATGAATTATAATTAATGTAAAATGAGATAATATAAAAATAGTATAAATAAAATACGGATAATATAAAATAAATATAAATATAATTTATAAATTATATATAAATCAATTATCTAATCAAAATAAACTATAAAAAGTTATGTGATATATCAAAATTCATATTATAATAATATTATATAAATAAATATTATATTATTAATTATAAAATATATTATAATTTAATAAAAATTATATTAAAATTATCTAATATTAATCTAGTTTATTATCAAATAAATATATATTATTTATCTTTTAAATTTAATTCTAAGACTTTTTTATCTTAAATTTAATAAAATATTTTAAACTTAACTGAAATAATAATATTATAAATAAATATAATTATAAAAAATTTAATTATATTATAACTAAAAAAATAATCTAAGCTAAAAAAATATGATTATTTAATATATTATTATAATATAAATATTTAGTTATTATTTTATTAGTTAATTAATATTTTAATTAATAAATAATATATTTTGTTATATTTTATTAATTATAATTTAATTATAATTTATCAATCAAAATTTAAGCTATTAATAATTAATTTTTTATTATATTAATAAATTAATTTATAAAATTAATAATTAAAATAATAAAAGTAATTAAAGTAAAAATAATATTCTAATTAACTATAACTTGTAATAATTAATTAAAAAATTAAAATTTATTATAATTAATTAATTAAAAAATTATAATTAATTATAATATTATTTTTAATAAATATAATAAATTTTTTAGATAAAATAAATTAATTTCTTAATTTTAGAATTTTTTACAAGAGATTTTTAGCTTAGAACTTTTTTACTTGAATTTTAAGTTTTTTTACTTAGAAAATTCTTAATTAAAATTTTTATTAAAATATTTTTTTATTTTAAATTTTAAATTTTAAATTTTATATTTTGTTATAATAATTAATTATATTATAGTTTCTGAATTAATAAATTGAATTTATTTATACTACTGATAATATATTATACTAAATTATAACACTTTTTAATAGTAATTATTTATTAATTCAATATATTAATTATATTTTTTAAATATTTTTTAATAGTTTTTTAAATATATAATTATATATTAAAAGTTTTATATAACTAAATATTTTTTATAGAATTTTTTTTTCAAAAATAAAATTTCTGGAATTTCTTGGTAACTGATTTTTGTGCTTGATATTTATTAGTTATTTTATAATTAAAATATTTTTTGTACTATATTATATATAATATTTTCAAAATTTCAAGAAATAATATATTTCATAAAAATTTTTTTAATTATTTTATTAATTCATATTAAATAAAATTAAGTTTAATATTATTAGAATATCTAATAGATTTTTATATATTAAAAATATTTAGTTTTATAATTTTTTGAATTTTTTCAAGTTTTACTATATATAATACAAAAATCTAAATTCAATCTATTAATAATAATTAATTATATTATTAATATATTATTATAATATCTGAATTAATAAAATAATTAAGTATATTAAATATAATATATTTTAGTTTTAGAACTTTGATAACTTATTATATTTGTCTTTTATATTAATATATTTTATTTATAAATTATATTATCAAAATTTATATTACATTTAATTTAGTAAAATCATATTTTTTAGATTATATCAACAAGTTTTAAAGTTATTTTAAAAGTTTATAAATTTTGAAACTAATTAAACTTTATATTATTATATTTAGAATAAAAATTATAAATTTAAATAATATTTTTATGAAAAATATTTAACAAAAGAAAAAAATAAAACTTTAAATAATATATTTTTATTAATTTTTTTTGAAAATAAAATTTTTATTACTAATATAAACTTTTATATTTAATTTATATTTTGTATTTTATATTTTTATATTTTAAATTTATTATATTTTTATTTTATAAAAAAAATTTAATAAAGAAAAATCTGTTATAATATAAATATTTAATTTTTATTTAATTATATCTTATTAATTAATTCATATTATAATTTAATTAAATAATATTTTGTTATAATTATTAATTTAAAATTAGTTTTAATTTTATTAATTAAAATTTTATTATATTAACAAATTAATCTACACAATTAATAATCAAATAATAAAGATTATTAGTATAATATACAAATTAAATCTAATTATATATAAATATAATATATATTTTAGCTAAAAATAAATAGATTTTCTAGATTTTAGATTTATTTACTTAAGATTTTAGATTATTTAAGTAAGTTTTTTGAGTTTTACAAATTAAAAATTTTTTAATTAAATAATAATCCTTATATTAATTTATTCTTGAAAAATAGATTACTTATAATAAATTATTTGTATTTAACTTATATTAGAAGTCATTCTTAAAGACTTATAATTTTGTATTATCTCTTAAACTATCAGATTTAGTAAATAAATTTGTCTGCTAAAATTCCATAAATTTATATCTAAATATTTTAAAAAAAGTTTGTTTAATATTAGCTTTAATTATATATTATATAATAATTATTTTCACTTTTTTTAATAATTATAAAAAATTATAGTTGTCTATAAGCAATATTAAAAAATTTTTATTATTAATCTTAAAGTTTAAAAATATTTTATCATAAAATTACAAAATTGATTACAAAATAAATCAAATATTTTGAGTAATTATAAATAAAAATTACAAATTTTATATTATATTGATTAAAAATATGGTATATTTTTATTTTACTTAAAAAAAGAGGGTTAAGCTTATAAAAATGTACCAAAATAAGCTAAAAAAATTTTAGCAGGCAAATTTGCCCGCTGGACGGTTTAAGAGATAACTTATAAAAGTTATAAAAAGTGCACTCGACAAAAGGTTGGAACTATTAATCGGATGGTTAGTGATGTGCTACGCTGCCTTGATGCTCGCTGGCGTAATAATCTATTAGAGTTATTGAAGCTATCTGATCTCATCCTAGTTCATCACCAAAATGAATACTTATTATTTACTCTTTAGATAGTTTAAATCTCTTTTCCATCTTGAACTTAGTAAAAATATATGAAAAATATGTAATTATTTTAAAACAGTAACAATATACATGTAATAACCTATTATAAGTTTTTATTAAATACAGATTAAGTATTAATTATTAATAACATTATGAGAATCATACAACAAAATATTATTATTAATTCAAAATGCCTAATATTTTTTTGATGTATATATTTCATGGTTAATAATAATTATTTATTCAAATAGTCATAAAAAATACCATTCAAATGCTTTTTTCTTGTTTATTTGTGTGTTCTTATACCCTCATCCAGTGTTGTCACGGGACAGCTTTGGACATGCCTTTGGACAATCTTGGACATTTTTGACAAAAAAAAATCAAATTTACTCAAAATTTTATTAAAATAACCTGTTTGGACACTCTAATTAAAAATGTTTAGAATTTCTCGTTGTATATAATCATATATTTTTTATTTGATTTTTTAATAGTATAAGAATTTGGACACTTGGACATTTGGACGTTTGGACATTTGGACAGTCAAAAAAGTGCTAAATGTACAACACTGGCAGCATGTGTATTAAGTCAATCCGGATAATTATAAGATTATCCGAATTGAAAAAATAAATTACTTTAGTGAACGATCAAATTTCTTTATAAAAAAGTCAGTTTGGATAAATTGGATAATTAAATTTTTGTGTACACATTCCTACAATAAATCACTGAAATTCATAATAATGTATAAAAAATGAGAATTTTGCGAGATTAATTATTTTCATTTTTCATATTAAATTTACTATAGTAATTACGTACTGCTTCATTTTTGATTTTCGAAATTTCTGAACATCAATTATAAAACAAGCGTGCATAACCATTTTCGCTGTCTGTCACACCAACTTCCAAGTCATGAGGAATAGCTATTATACATTTCCAAAATAATGTCACCATGGTAATATAAATAAGCATGTAGAAAAAGTCACGCTAATTAGACTAATTTCAGATTTTTCTTCTCTTGTAAAATAACGATAATTTAGAGATTAATAGAAACTTCCTTTTTTTATATCTCGGACTTTTTGAATATCGGGAAATACAAACACAAATAAATATATCGCATCTTTTGGCATTTGATAATTGTCGACTGAGAACACAGGCATGAGTGAGAATACCAAAAGTCCATCAATTGATAGTAGTGCAAATGTGGTAAACTTTTCAGCAGGAGATACAACCACTACCAACACATTAACACAAAACTCAACAACAGCAACAGTAAGTGGTGGAGGAGAATCAACAGCGTCTTTCACCACCCCTCTATTATCAGAAAGAGATTCTACTTCGTCGGCTGTTCCTGAAGAAGAATTTCCAGAAGTTAGACTTACATTATTATTAGTTTCTGGAAAACGACACACATTCAAGTTTGAGCATAGTGATACAATAGGAAATGTAAAGAAACGTGTGTTTGAGGATTGGCCTAAAGGTAATTTATATTTTATTTGTTGATTTATTTATTAATTCATTTATTATCGAATCCATTTGGTATTAGGAAATTAAAGTTACATGAATCTGACGATTCCTTATTGTTGATTTTATGATTACTACTATAACTATCATTACTATATTACTATCATTCCATCACTTCTTAAAAAGTCATAACAAGAAAAACACATAATTCACTCAATATCTCAATTTTTCTCTGCATAAAATAAGAGTGGGCAGATGAGACGCCAGCAGCAGCTTCAAGCCTGAAAATAGTTTATCTTGGTCGATTTCTAGAAGATCAGTCGACTCTTGAAAGTAAGATTATTCTTTATTGTTGGTATATCAGCTAAATTTTTGTTCAACTTATATTGAATTCTGATTTAATTTAGCAAATAAAATATATGCCGGGCAAACTACAATTGTCCATTTGACGATTAAAAATATACCGTCTACAGATGCAGATGGTAAGTAAATAATAGATCATTTTGCTGGTTTTTATGACAAATATAACATTACTATACTATTATTATTCTTAGATCCTAAATCAACAGAAAATGCGCCGAGGTGTCAATGCACAATGCTGTGACACTATTTGCAAAGTAAAACAGCTACAATTAATGAATAAGTGAATCTTGGCTCAAGGGAAAAAACCAACGTCGATATCTAGGAATTTCATCGCATTATTCCATGCATTTCACTTTCACTATAATCTCTTATTTTTATTAGCATTTAATTTTATAAAACGGGACATTTCCTTCAATAACGAAACGAACACTAATATCTTTTATTCACTACTTTGTGATTTCGTCACTCCTTTTTTTTTAAATTTCGTATTTTTATTATAGTTGTTTTCCTAACACCATACTAATTCTTATTTAGTTTTGATTTTTTTTTTATATTATTTATTTAAGACTTTAGTCTAAACAATTTTAACTTTTAATGCCCATCATATTTTATCGACAATAATTCATCATCCAACATAGTCTTTCTCGCACACTTTTTATTCCATCACTCAAATGTAAGACTGATTTGAATAGTTAGCTATTCTGACGGTTTATGAGGAAAACCTATTATGTAATATACATAGTAAGCCTCTTTAAGTCGACTAATCAGACTCCTCTAAATTCGATTTAAAGAGAGGTTTTTTCTTTATACACCTATTATGTTTTGTATAGCCAGGTTTTGTCTTATGGGGGGTTCGACTTAGTGAGGTAGAATAATATATTTCACGCAATTTTTTCTTGTACACATCAAAAATAATATGCACTATTGATATCAATAGTAAACTAAAGATTCCAGAAATTATATACATTCCAGGAAAAAAAGAAACAAGAAATCATTTATTTTAGACGATATTTTTCTCAGCTTTCAGCACGATCTTCTTTTTTGGCTTCACGAATTGTGCGATCGCTGTCTCAATATCAATAGAACCTGGTAGATTGATGTCTAATAGATAATTTTGCGGATCATAGAATATCAAACGCGATGGTTCTATATCTAAGGTTGTTGATTTCGTTGCTTCCTGATTTGTTCAAAAAAAATTAAGAAGTTTGAGAATTCTCATCACAAATTCAAAAAACGACAGAATCGTGGATAGAACAACACACTCATTCAATATACAAAAGAATAAGAAAGAAGTGAATGTACCAGCTTGGGAACATCAATTGAAATTTTTACGTAATTTTTTCCGCGGATTTTTTCTTCAGCGATTGAATATTTTGGCTCAGTAATAGGAATCGGCAATGATTTTGCGATTTGCTGTGGATTTTGTATTTGATCTAATGGTAAACGGGGTGATGGTGTCTCCTTTGATATTGTTGTTGCTTTATTCTTAGTAGCAGCAGTCGGAAGAGACACCTCTGTTATCATGGGTGCTCGTTGTTTTCCAACTACGGGCAAATTAATGGTTTCTAATTTACCCTTACATCGCAATTTTGGAAATGCGATTTCTAGGATTTATTTTTTTTATTAGTTGGCTTATTTTTGGCATTCATTCAACTGAAATTAATTCTTTACAAACCTCGATTCAATCTAAGCTTATGCTTGTCTTCAATGTGTTCCATCACATGCTCAGCAATAAAAAGCTTAAAATCGTAATTTTTTTCGGTCTTTTTGTATATCTTTGTATTCAACACAACATCACAAACAAGACAATGTTTGGAGCCTTCTCAATGACACCATGTCAAATCTAGACAATGAGTTTACTACACGACATTATTCCGAGGAAAGAATTTGCGTAAATAACAAACCTTTATCAACATCTTCCCTTAGATTTCCGACAACAAGGGGGACTGGATAACTGGCACCTTCTACCACTTCCATGGCTTGCTGAATTTCTTGGTCAGTGGCAGGTGACGGCTCGGGCACCTTTTCGGAATGCACAACATTAATAAGTAATTTTACGCCAGCTGGGTGAGGCATCGTTGTTCCTTCCAAGAGGTGGGTTTTAACTACATATCCCGGTGTCGGATCTATCTTGAGAGTCAATGATTCTGAAGAGACTTCTGACATTTTTTGATATTGGCTGGTAAATGTTTTTAGTGATTCTGGGTCTTTGACTAATTGACTTGAAAATTCATCCCATAGAGCTTCTTCGGTTTTCGTATCATTTTCTATTTGATCTGTAGAGGAATTTAGCGAAAATAAAGAAGGTAACTTCTCTTCCCCAACATCAAGTACTAGCGTTGGGATAGCCATAATGGGACGAAAAGTGAGATATCGAAATTCGATATGTAATTGATCGCCAATGAAGTTACACTTGTCAAACGCGTGGGACCGATCATAATAAAATCATTGACGCGCAGTTCTAGTTGTTATAAAATCAATTATCCTACCTTTCGCCACATTCTTTTCCATGTATGTCACAATTTTATCACAATGACTGAACTTATTCCAAACACAAACACATTAAACATCCAAGAAAACGAAGTGAAAGAAGAAGTCGCAGGCGCTATCACGCCGTCAGATTTGCAATTATTAAAGCGTACTAATGGAGGGACAGGCCAAATTTTCAATCAGAACCTCGAGGATACAAAAGTGATACTGGTCGAAAATTTCCCCTTAACCGACAAAGAAACGACGAGTATTGTTGAGGGACACGGTGAACCACCACCTCGATCCGAAAAGTCGGAAGAAAAACATTTTTTGGTAAAGCTTCACTTGCCAGAGAACACTCAAATGCAAGATCAAATCAATTTGGAAGGTAGTAATAGTTTAGTCTCTAAAGACAAACCAGGCAGAGCATCTCATAAAACGAAAGGAAAGAAAAAGGCTTCCGACGCGATTCAAGAGACTTCCGATTATGATATGTATGAGGATGAGAGTGAGGAGGGAGAAGAGAGCATATCAGATGATGACGGTTCTTATGTGGTCGATGATGAAATTTCTGTTTATCACGAAAGTTCAGAATCTGATAAGTATGAGATTGACATATCAGATGATGATGATCTCGGTGTAGACGACGGGGAAATTTCTACCTACAAATCACGCATGAGAAAATGGGCATTAACTCGCCGACGTCTCAGAGTTGCGCCAAATTCGATAAAAGTCACGAAAGAGAATGAAATGGATATCATTGCTTCAGAAATCTATATGTCAGATCCAAAATATGAAGATGCCATCATAGATAATACCCTCAAAATACCTGGCGAGATTTATCACAAACTCTTTGGTTATCAGAAATTAGGGGTGGAATGGTTCTGGAAACGTCATCAAAATAATCAAGGTGGAATATTAGGAGATGAAATGGGGCTTGGAAAAACTGTTCAAATGATTGCCTTCCTAGCCGGTCTCTTTTATTCGAATCAATCACAACAGGCTACGATAATAATCTGTCCGGCAACTCTTATGTTTCAATGGGTGAAAGAGCTCCATAATTGGTGGCCACCAATAAGAGTGGGAGTTCTTCATTCGACCGGTAGAGCCGTTTCATCCCATAGTGATGAAGATAGTGGTGCAGCTAAACTCATAAAGACATTTACTAAAAAAGGTCCTGGTCATGTTATAGTTACCACTTATGAGTCAGTAAAGAAATTTCGTGGACTATTACTTGGCTGTTTTTGGGAATACGTGGTGCTTGATGAAGGCCATAAAATACGTAATCCTGATGCGGAGGTGACTTTAACAGTAAAAGAATTTAAAAGCACTCATAGGATCATTCTGTCGGGAACTCCTATTCAGAATAATTATAAAGAATTGTGGAGTCTAATGGATTTTGTGGCTCCAGGAAAATTCGGCACATTACCTGTATTCGAGGAACATCTCGCGAATAAGGTGATTGTAGGTGGATATCGACATGCAAATGAATATGAGGTACAGACAGCTTATTATTGTGCTCGAATAATGGCCGATTTCGTTGAACCTTATATGTTGCGTCGTACCAAAGCCGAGACGGCAATACAACGTCCTAAGCAAACCGATCAAGTGCTTTTCTGTAAACTCACTCCACATCAAAGAAAATTATATCAAGACTTTCTTAAAGAAAGAGAAATGAAAGACTTTGTCACTAGTAATAGAAAATCACCAAGACCTGAAAAGATTAAAAAGAATAGTAATACTAATAAGAACAATAATAATAATAATAATAACAACAGCAGAAGTCATTTTGTCTGGGCACAGATAACAAAACTATCCAAAATCTGCAATCATCATGATATTTATTTTCTTGATCGTGATCATGCATTAAAAGAGAGTAAAGATTATGGGAACTGTGAACGCTCTGGGAAAATGTTGGTGGTGAAATCTCTCTTGGAGATGTGGAAACCAAAAGGACATCGAGTGTTACTGTTCTCACAATCGACTGAAATGCTTGATATTTTGGAAAAATTTATAAAATCATTGCGATATAAATATCGTAGACTTGATGGAACTACGCCAATCTCGAAACGTCCATTTTTAGTTGAGGAGTTCAATACTAATGACAGCATCTATATTTTGTTGTTGACTACAAAAGTAGGTGGCGTTGGCTTGAACCTTACGGGTGCTGATCGAATTATCATCTATGATCCAGATTGGAATCCTTCTAACGACGATCAAGCAACTGAACGTGCAGCACGGCCAGGACAATCCAAAAATGTATCAATTTATCGATTAATGACTTTTGGCACCATAGAAGAAAAGATTTATCATCGCCAGCTATTCAAGAGAATGATGTCCAATAAAATAACACGGAAACCAAGCAAGGACGATATTCAATTTGAAGCTGAAGATTTATATGATCTTTTCTCGCTTGGGAATCCTGATGCCAAAGACACCGAAACTAGTTACATGTTTGGGGACGCTGAAATCGGAATGGAGGAACCAGAACCCAAAAGAAGAAAACCAAATTCTCATAATAGTAAGAGTGCTAATAATCGATCATCAACTTCGCGTAGTAAATCTAATCCTATTGGAAACAGTTTATTAGCTCATATGCATAATTATAACGAACTATCAACTTTCTACAATCCCACGGCTTTACTCGATTCCGAGGAAGAAGGGGAAATCAGAGAAACGCCTTCTAAAGGCGATGCTTTTGGTGGTGTTGTGAGGGTGGAAGATAGAAACAAAGAACAAAAGGAGGAAAAGGAGGAATCTGAAGAGAAAGATTTACTCCAAATGTTGTATAAGACAGCTGGATTACATAGCGTTTTTAAACATGACAAAGTTCTCGGCGCAAAATCAACAAATAACTCATCCGTTTTCGAGAAAGTTATTGATGAAAAGGCACGCAAAGCTGCCAAAGAAGCGAAGGAAGCTTTGGAAATTAGCCGTCGTCAATTGCGAAACCTTCCGTTGGGTACTTTAACGTGGACAGGACAATCAGGAAAAGGAGGGATTAAATTTGATCCATCAAAATTAAGGAAAAACGATGATCCATGGGATTTTTCACAAAACAAGAGGTTTTAGTGTCATTTTACCCATCCTTCCCTATTTATGAATAGTAATTTGCTTTCAAAGTCATATTTACTTCCAACTGCTTAAATTATTATTGCTAATACTAGAATTACAACATAGTGAGCCATATATAACGTAATTTATGATTTGTGTACTTTTTTGTCTATCACTAAAAAGAAACACGTTACAATTCACATCTGCTACACTTGATTGTTTTTTTTCCTGAAGTAAAAATAATAAAGTTCCAAGTCGAGTCAATCAAGTAATCAGTTTTTAACACATATGGATATATAGCAACGATGTTACACATGGTATTGCCTAAAATAAATATGCTAAAAAAATAAATTGCCAATATAAAAATGTCTTTTCGTTCAATTGACATAGACGCATTCGACGAGGAACGACTTTCCGAGAAAGAAATCTTTGAGTTTTCACATAGTGGTGGTGGCGAAGGGATAGAACAACAGTCGCCAGAAGCAGTTTTTGCTTCTGTTCAGGTCAAGGAGGTGGAAGCGCGTAGCCTTTTGCAAAAGTTTGTTATTCAAGGTCCAGTTATTAAATTGCGTATTTTTAAATATAAAGTTTTCTTTATCTCTTGAATTTCTTCAGAGGAAACGCCGCCAATGCTCTCACAATAGCAATAGACAATCCACCTTACGGGCTAGATAGAGATAACGCAAAGGTAGATGTAATTTCAACTTAATTTATTGATTTCTTGGATGATAAATGAACTTTTGATCTCTTCCCACAGGAGTTAAATGCAAAAATAGTCATGGATGTTTTGAACTCTGTAAAAACAACAGACATTCCCTTGATCGTGAAATCGTTATCAAGTGAACAACAAGATACACTGATGAAATATATATATAGAGGAATGGCAACTCCCGAGTCGTCGTCTTCTTCTGCTATACTGCTGAATTGGCACGAGAAAGTATGTTATGTTATACAATAAATAACATTCTCTTTCCGTTTAATTATACTTACGATCAATTTTCTTTTTTATTTAATAAATATTTTTTTTCGAAAGTTGACTGAAATTGCTGGAGTTGGTTGCATTGTGCGAGTCATCACTGATCGGAAAACTGTCTGATTCGTTATTTGAAAAAATTAGAATAATATAGAATTGCTAATTTATATTTATTACATAATATAAAATAAAATCGATTTGATACAATGGAAATGGATATACATTCACTCTCACTATTATACTTACCATTGGGTCGAATAAATTTTCTTCAATAAATGTGGACTGCGATCTATTGTTTTGTTCTATCCCAAATTGATAATCACAAAATAGAAATAAATAGGCAATAAAACGACAGGTTTTTTCTATTAAGAAAAAGAATCAACGAAACCGCCAAAATCGCTATTTTCAGATGATACTTGATTTTGTGTTATTTGTGAAGGGTTTGTCACTGTGGAGAATGATTTCATTAGATGCTGCTGCTGTTTGATAGATGTGGTAGACGGCGGCGGAGGTAAAAGCGGGACATCTGTAATATTAAAATGATATCAATCATCGTTAATATCATGATTCTGCCAAAACCACTATTAAACATTAAAGAAGTAAAATAATAACCTGCGGATGACTCATTGCTTTCATTTTGTGGACGAGTTCTTTTCGACGTGTGATGATGCTGCCAGTTAAAAATAGAGATTATTTATTCGTTCTTATTATTTATTTCAGATCGAAAAGAGAAAAAAAGCACATCATTACGTTTCCTATTACGATGCTAATCGTCTGTCCTTCTTTTAAACTATAATCTTTTTTTGGTTCCAACGATGCCTTTTTTGCTTGTAAAGACGCTTCTTTTTCTGCTCTTACATGTCTATTAAAAAATGATTATCAAAATTAACCCACGGATAATGAATGATGCATTAACAAAGAATAACATACTTTATGTGATCTTGTAATGCCACTTGAAAATCAAATGCATCTGACCGTTCTTGGAAGCCCATGCCAATAAATGCATGCCGTCCTAACAATCAAAAACAAATACTTTCGCGATTTTTCACAATTTTCAAAATTGTAATTCAGACATAAAATAACTTACCTTTATCTTTATCTTCTATACGTAAAACGAAATATCGACTCGAATCCCGGACGGGTTCGACTGAATTATTGTTAGGATCATAAGGACATTCGGCGAATAATTCACCTATCAAAAAATATCAAAAAGAATTTAAGCAAAATTGACTTTTCATTGGTTATAATTGAAACGAATTAATACCCGTAGTTCCGTCCTCAAGTCTTATAAAACACTTTTCCCCGATAGCAATTATTCTTAGACGCCCTTTCCAGAGATACGTTTGTAAGTCTCCCCATTCTTCGGCTCTATCTTTTCACGAATTTAAAAATAAATATTATTTAACACGGCATAATTCTAAGCAGCTTAAAAGTATATTTTAATTTGCTGCATGCTTGCCTATACTCTTTACTAGAACTTCTAGGTGGCAATTTGTACACTGATAAAAACGTAGATGTTAATACATGTCTCGCTCAAATTGATAACGGTTAAAAGAATTTAGTTTCACCGAAGCATTCGCGGATAACAATTAATACACTTTCGTAGTCGTCCATATTTTGTTAACCTTCTCCAAAATGATGAACATATGTATTCCAATTGGCTACTATAATTGGTATAGCTTAAGCGAGTTCAACGCGCGTAAAAAAAACTGCCTTATTTTCTGGTGATAAGGTTTTTTCTGTATCCATTGACCGTAATTCCTGGTCCCATGAGTACATTAAAGCGACACCCAATAGGGGATTCTATGCTACCCTTGAAGTCTTTGAACGGACCTTTCAATCAGAAATCATAAGGGAAAAAAAGGCGGGAGGCTAAATATGTTGCCAGTCTTGCTCTTGATTACATTGCTAATTCGAAGGCCTAAGCTCGTCGGGGAGGTTCTAGGACAAGAGATTCCCAAATCTTTTGTTTGGCTGAAGAAACAGCTTGAACCCGGACAACCCTTAAAACGCCCCCACAGTTCTGCTTGACGAATTTTGTCAATTTCATGATCTGGATTATCCTGATTACACCTCGATCGAAATAGGAGTCCGTGAATTTCTTTCAACTGAAGAAGCGTTTTGGGAAAAGAAAGATGCCAAATATTATCTGGCGTTTGGTGTTTTCGATTATATATACAGAGAACAGCTGGAAATAGAATGTCCAGGTATTGGCTACTTCCTCGTCTAATAAGGCAGACAGCGTTCAAATCCAAGCAGAATCTAGCGCAAATGCAAATGCAACTACATCAACATCTCCTGGCTATAAATCAAACATATACGACCTCTACAAACCTTACGTCAATCCCACGGTTTCTTCGTCATTTTTATTATTCAAACCAAATGATGTGATCGTACTTTTATTACTTATAGTTTCAGTTAGTTTCGTTATTGGTTGTACCCTTCAAAGCAATAAAAAATAGTATCGTTCTACCTTCGCAAACTTGGGTTTTTTATCGTAATTTGTCAAGCGATATCTTTTTGTTTTCTTTGATTGTAAACGTTCATTTCATGTTCCTGTTCACATGTTTTTCTTGGAATCATTGATGTGTCGTAAATTGGCGTGAATAAGCGCCACTTTTTGGGTCCTGGACATTTCCTTACAATTTAAAATTATCGCCATTTAGATATATTTTTGTAATTTAAGTTTATTCATTGTTTTACTATGTTTGGATTGAAATAGGGTGGTGCTTATTCACGGCAGTTGAGAAAATTCTTGCGGAAGCCAAGTTTTTTAAATATTAGATAACAATATATCGAACATATATATATATATATATATATAAGCTGATAAATAAATTAAATTGTCACTTCCATATTCAAAATGTCCAAGATCCAATACGTTCTAATTATGTTTTAGTTTTTGACAGTGACGAAGATGACGCGACATTACTTGGCGTTATTAAATCTTTTCGCATTGCATAAGCGTCCTCACCATCCGCATAGTACTTCTCTTCTGTATCGTGTATCCTATTTTTACAGATCAATTATTAACATAATCTTGTTTTTACTTTCTTAGTTTATTGCAAGATTTTAAACTTGCCTAAACTTCAGAGTATCCTGATACAATTGAAGTGCGGCACGATTACTTCGTCGAACATGCAGAGAAACGTATCGTGCATTGAAGACTTCGAGCATCGCTTTTTCTATGGGCCATTAAAAATTAATTCGATAAATTAATCATACACGTAACCTCATAGTCAGAAAGCATATGACTTGATAGTAACTTACGCGATTGCGTCATTAGTTTCTCTGCTATACCTAATCTTCGATATGTTCGCATTACAGAGAGTGATGTGATATGTCCGTGCGGATCATCAGTATCTTCTTCCCTATATCATTGTTTATTATTCTTTCATTAGATAAGAATCAACGATGAATTTTGTTGGTATATAATATACAAGGGAATAAATACATTTTCGCCAAAACATAGCCAACAATTCTTCCTTTATGATCTTCGGCGACAAATGAAAGTTGTGGCCATGATAAAGCGTGATAGAAATCTAATAATTAATTTCACCATATGTCAAGTTGATAATTGAGTGTTGATAATAAAATCGGTTTTTTTTTACTCGAAAAAACTCGAATAAATACAATATTTCATTTGATAGTTTTCAGGAAGATTCATTAAATTGCAATTTTGCATTGCAAGTAGATCGTCAACCTAGAGATTTAGTATGAAACTTTTGATTAGTGGGTCACCAGCACAATATTTGAAAGAAAGGTTAGCTATACTTAACGGTTGCTTGTCTTATATTCATTTTGCAATGCAAGAATAAAGTGCTATTTTCTCGATCCTTTATGCGTAATTCCAAGATTTTATTTTTTCATGCCGATCCATTCATTCATTGTGTCTTAAAAAATTACGGACTTAATTTTTATCGCTTCAATTGATTCACTTGAAAATGTTTACAGAATCTTATACTTCCAAACAAAAAACCCACTCTAATATGTTCTCTCAAATATCAGAGAATGGTGCGCGAGCTAAATCAACAAGAGAGCCTTCATTTTTCGCGTCTGATCCCATTCCAACTACTTCAGCTCAAGGTTCAAGTCCTGAGCCTGGCCAAGGCTCAATAATTCAACACGTAACATTTGCAAATCAAGATACATTCTTCCCTGTTGAGTCCTCTTTTAGCGTCATTGAAGACGATAGTCGTTTCTTTGAGCAACCAACTCCCACTCCTGGTCCTTTTCGTAGTGCAAACGCGTCTCATGATATGGGCAGTCAAGAAACACCCGTTAAATTCAAATTCGGAGATGTTTCAGTTGTATATCTTTCCCTTATTCCTTACCAAATTCGAGACAAGTTACCCCAAATAATAAGTAAGTGAAAGTCTTTATAACGCTACTTTTTCCACGAACACTACATTTTTTGATTCCTCTTCTCTAGATAAATCTGCATGCAACGCGGTCTTGAATTCGAATAATAAGACAGCCACACTTATAACAAGAGCCAAATGTTTTGCCTGGATATACAAACACGATGATCGGGATGAGGTTAGATGTCAATTGGTTACGTGAATCTGATGTTAGCCATTGAATTTCAAATTAAAATCAAAATACATAATCATCATTAGAAAATCTTTAAACCATTCATGCCACCGACTCTTCGTGATGAATTCCCACTTCCAATCGATAACAATTCTCAACATCAACAACCGGCAAATCAACCATCACTACCATTTTTATGTATTGTTCCGCCTGCTAGGAATGTAATTTCAGCGGGGTTAATTGCTTGCTCGCCAAAAGGTCAAATCCGATACTGGAGAAATGTTTTTAACATTGCAGAAGATTTAAATCACTATCAAAGTTTACAATTGCCAGTTCAAGCTAATGATTATGGCGTATATCTGAAATTACATGAGGTAAATAGCATCTATGATTTTTTCATCAATTAACAAACGAATTCTTTATTTATTTAAATCTTTTCCCATTACCCAGTTCGGAGAATCCAAAGATTCTTCATCTAATCAAAATGTTATAATATTTGGAACAAATAAATCCACTTTATTCCAAATCTTTATTCACAACAACGATGCATTTAGTGATACGCTATCATATTCTGTATTATCGCGTCCCTCAATATTTTTCTTTGGCAATGGTATCCAATATGATACTACGACTATAGTTGCGTCTGCTTTGGCAAAACAATCGGATTACATTCATTCAGAGTAAAATTCTCATTTCATTTAATAGTGATGTTGTAATTTATCATTTGCCGAAAAAGCTTATATTTGCTATATTAAATATCAAATAGCTCATTATACATTTTGACTCAAAATGCTATTGAGGAATGGACATTAGGAGATGTGAAGCGCCCACTTAAGGTAAATTTTTTTCGACAAAATGACTGAATTTCATTCAATATTAATTCTTTGTATATGATTAGTATGTAGGCGGTGAGGATATAATTTCAATGATCCTTGAAAGATTGCCAGAATATGATCAAGGACTTCAGGATCGAAATAGACTTGTTATACTGGACATGGATATTAACAGGTATTATTGATATATATATATATGGAAAAACTTCGTTCTTTGCGTTTTTACTAAATTTATATATAATTATACTCAACAGAAATAGCGAGCTATTACTCCTTGTAGCCTTTATCAAAGATCCATTAGAATGGCATTATTATTTAGTCTTGATGATGAAAATAGATAATTCAACTTACCAAATTAATGAAGCGAATCTCTTAAAAATTCCAGAAGTAAGTTTCCATTTCAGTTCTTCTCGAAAGCAAACATATAAATAATTTATAAGTAATTTTAAATATTTAGATTTTGATAATTTACTAGTCAATGATACCTAGCGATGATGCCCATCTAATAATACCGCAAGGAGGATTAGCAGTCTTTGTTGTTTTGCCTGACGCAGTTATATTCGCGACTAAAAGCAAGTATCTTCTCTATTGGATTTCTACGTTGAGTTGACGATGCTAATGAGTTTGTAATATAGATGCTCTGTATCAACAAACTATTATTTTACGGGATAGGAATAATAAAATTATCGGCTTTGGCACTAAAGAGTCCAAATCATGGATATCTGAACAAATGGATGACATCTGTAAGTTGGATATAATTACCACAAAAACAGGTATTATGTCTTGCCAAGTATCAATTGCAGATATTCAGGAATTTGCTGAAGCAACGCCGTACGTAGATATTATTCCCTAATTGTTAGAATCGATTGTGCAAATTTTTTACGCATAGCTTTACATTTTCGTTTGCTCTTAGAAAAAGTGAAGATGAACAAGAATTGAAGGTATATTTAATCTCGTAATTAATACCTTGGGTTATGAAAACATTTTTTAAAGGCTAATTAAATACGAACTCTTAATTAGGCTCAAGAAACAGCGAATTTAAAGAAAAAAATTGATGATTGTGTTACCTTTGTCCTTCAGGAAAATGCAAGTTGTTTTTATTACTGAATTGAATGTGTTATAGTCACATATAACTTATTTAATCACAATTATTAGAGTCCTTTCGTAATCTACCTGTCGCATGATTACGCTGGCGATCTTGAAGCTGTGGCCATAGAGATCAGTCAAGAAATATTAGAATCTCGTATGTAATAATTATTGTAAAATAATGCACTCTTTTTTATGCGAGACAAAATAACTAATTATCCTCTTATTTTAGGGTCGAATCATATAACTGATACACTTATACTGAACAAACATTTGAATTATCGACTCAATCGAGCGATGCATCTTATCAAATTCATAAAAGCATGTGGATTTTATCATAAAGTGTGGGCTTTTATACTTATTGAGACAGCCGTTCTTTGATATCAGTTGTCTTAAAGTTTAAGTCTTTATCATTATCAATTGTCTATAATCTAGTTGAGTGAGGATACTCGTCATCGACTATTCTCAGACTCCGAAAAATTGGCTTGTGCAAAGCGAATGTGGGAATTACATGAGCATAGGTAATTTTATCAACTTCGCGTGTATTATTGATGCTCTAAATGGTAACTCTTCCTATCTAAATTAGATTGCAGAAACAAGAATCTGGGTTATTACATGTCAATTTCCTGAACGAAGCAATTAAAGAATATTTTCGCCATCGCGAATTTACAGCCAACGAAGATATTAACAGAATATTTTATAAAGACTACGTATGAACATTTTTTCATTTATTTTATATCATCTTGAGGTGAACATCATTGAGCTATTTCTAGGTTAAGGACATTGGCGAAATCTTTCTGATATTGCACAAGCTTGTTGAACAAGAACTGGAAGAATATCATGATGAGACCGAAGTTAAGTTGATTGAAGAAGCGAATAATATTGCTTTGGTAAATATAAAACTTTGTTTTTTGCTCTTTGTGCATGTCGCAGATTTTAATCATACTTCTCAATTGTTGTGGTTTATAGTATACAATGCAAGGGATTTTTGAATTTCGCAAAGACCTAGGTCTAGAATACCAACTTAAAGAAAGGGACAATAGATACTCTTTTACAAGTAATATATCATCACTTTTGTATCATTTTTTCTTTAGGTTCACACATCTATATACACCCGCTCTAAATATTACTTTTGATCATTCAATAGCCCAAGAACAAATTATAGAAGTCTTTCATTTTCTATTCGATAAGACGATCTCTTTGGTTGAACATTATGATATGGCCGGCTTAACACCACTGAAATCACAAGCTGTGAAATTGGCAAATATTTTATTTGGAATGAGCACAGATCGATTCATATTGCAAGTATAAATTTCTTATGAAATCTTTGGCGAATTATATTCAATATAAATTATTGACGAGGATTTTTCGCAACTCGAAATTGGTTATAGGGACATGAATAAATCGATTAACGAACAAATTTATCGGAAGCGATGGTTGGAAATATTGCAATCACTGGGTAAATTGTGATTCATTGTGATTCATCGTGATGATCATTGACATCGGAAATGGGTTATCTTAATTCATTCACTTTTTATTCGCAGCTAAAATTGAGAAAAAGGAAGATGCGTTTCAAACTGCTGATACTTATAAAGATTTTCATTCTCTGGCTGTACTTTGTGTCGAATGTGAAACGAATCCCGAAAACCGCGACGCGTATATCCGAAAATATATAAATATTCATGGAGAACAGTTTGCCAACGAACTATATAATTATTATCTTCAAAAAAGTATGATGCATTATTTTTTCGAGCTGAATTTTCTTTACATATATTACTGATATTTATTATTGTTCTTATTATCATTATCATTATTAGATCAACTATATAGTATGTTGTTTGAAGAGCACGCCAAAGAGAACAAAGATTTACTTCACAAATATTTACACGAGCGAAATATCTCGAAATTGGCTTGGTTGCATGCTATTGGAATGGAAAATTATCGGGAGGTTGCGGAACAAGCCGCAAGGGCTGCAAGTGTCGAAGACAAAATCGAGAAAAAAAACGTGAGCTTTCTCACTAAGCATTTATCGCTTCATGTATCATTATTCTTAAGCTGATAATTTAACAAATTTAGGTTCTACTTAGTATTGCTAAATTGGCAATGTTAGAAGCTGCAGATGAAGATGCTGAACAATTTGTCGACGGTACGTCTTTCCGCTATATTCTCTCCATATATTATTAATCTAATTTATCAATTATTTTTATAGAAGTCGATTCAGGTCTTTGGTACAACAAGGGGCAAGAGAGCATATATGAGAAATACATTACAGAGATTGGCACAGCGGGCACTTATAGAGATAATTTGGAAACCCAAGCGAAAAGTATTTTGCAAAAATTTGCTCCAAGTTTATCCGAAGAAACACCAACATTTGCCAAGGTAGTTAGTTTGTTAAGCGTTAATGTGTATTATGTTATTTAGGATTAGTTAATTAATTTTATCTGAAAATATTCCTATTATTCAGGTTTTTTTGCACTTGGTTAAACAAGTACTGAGCAAACGAATACTAAAACCATACGATTTAGTTGACCTTCTCACGCTTCCTGATATTGTCGAGACCGAACATTTCGTGCAAGCTATTCAAATAGTAGAACATGATATCAAGGTAATTAATTTCTTTATCATCTCGATGACGAAATTGTTAAATTTCATTAATTATATTTTTGGTTTTTCGTCTAGTCTCGATTCTCTGTAGATTCGACATATAAACTCGTGATAGGAACTATATGGCGTAGAATCTATTTACACGATGGGTAAGACTCCTCAATTTCTTATATGAGATACTTTCATAATAATTAATGCTAAATTCTTTATGCTAAATTAGTAAGCACTGGAAAACCTTAACAAATACCAACAGTCTATCGGACTATGAAATTATGGAGCAACTTAGACAGACAGCCACATATAAAACTATAGAAAGTTTGATTCATTTTAACGATGATGTTGGTAAGTGTGCAAGATCGATCTTGTTTCTATTATCATTGTTAATGAACATTTTGCTGACACCAATTAATTATTCCCACCTTGATAAAGATTGGCATGACTACTTTTGTCCGCTCAGAGATGCAATGTTTCCTTGTTCTACCCCAAATCTATCTAAACGTTTCCCGGATGCAGATGAAGAATTTTTGAGTTCTTTACTCATTGATTATGATCATGAAAATAAGAGTTTACAAGATTATTTAGAGACGACACGAATCGACAACAATGTTAGTGAACTATTACGATTACTTGAAAGTAATACGGAGGCAGTGATAGACACACAAATGAAGATTATCGATCAATAAAAAAAATAGATTCATTGAATTCCTTGCTTTCTTTTTACCTAGAATTATTGTTACGTTGTCCACCAAGATTAATTTTAAATGTTTTGACATGTAACGCGAGTTCGCGTTTTTTAAAATGTGATCGACGTCAATGCAAATCTATATAAAAAGAACGCGTATACTACCCGATAATTCTTTATTCATTTCTAATTCAATTCACAATAATAATATTGTTTAACGAAAGAAAATGGAAGCAATTAGGAGAAGCAAACGAATTAAAGTAAAACAAGAACAACAGAAAACCGAAAAAGCGACCACAAAAAAGTCTTCGACAAAGCAGAAGAAACCAAAGAAATCTACAAAGAATGAATCAACAAAAGTAGCGAAAGCTTCCAGTCGTAAAGCTTTGAAAGAAATTACTAATCAGTTATCAGAAAAGGAAGAGGAGGAAGAAGAGAAACTTGATGTCTGGTCTGCCGAGCAAAAACAAAGATTATTTGATGCTCTCTCTGCGAAACCAGTTCCCGTGAAGGTTGTTTCGAAGCCGTTGGATGAAGTTTTGGAGGGTTTACGCTCGCAAAATGCCGTAACTCATCCAATTTTTTTCAAGGAAAGATCAGAAAAAAATTCTGACACAATACCAACAATTGACATCATCGGAGATCCTTTGCCTCAAAATACCGAACAAAAAAATATAAATTTGCAGTTAGAACCTTCTGCTAAAGAAGAATCTTTGTCTAATAAGGACAAATACACGGATTTTAAGCCGTTGAAATTGAAAACTCGACAAAAATCGCGATTATTGAAGAATCTCAATACAGAAAAACAGGCTGCTTCTGCATTAGAAGAAACTAACACGATTATCAATCAAGAAAAAAATAATCCATCACCTTCACCCAAGTCAGCCAAATCACTTTCAGGTTCAAAACCAAGACACCAATTAGTGACAATTCAAAAACCTAATGGGCAAACTATTCATAGTGGTAGTTCTCGAAACTTCTCCAATTCACAGTTGCAAGATCCAAAGCTCCTCTTCAGCGATTGGACCATCAAAGAAAGCATTATAATTACCTCTAGTAAACCTTTTCCGATGGGTAACCTTTTCCAAAGTGACGACGAGATCTTTCTTGACGAGATGGAAAAATCAAATGATAATATTCCAGCAGAATCAGAATCATCATTGGAGAAGCACGAATCTCGACGTCTGAAATTCAGGAAGTCGTTGAAACATTGGATTTATCCTCCAAGTCAATTCGAAGATGGACAAATTAAAGCATTGGAAAGTCTATTCTGCAAGCCAAATTTCCCTTATCTTAAACCAAACACTGTCAATTATACGGCTGAAATGAAACTCTTAAAATATTACAGAGAGATGGAAAAAAATTGGAAAAAGACATTTATCTTGTTATATCGTAGTTTTAATAACGGAGAGATTCCTTATTTCTACTACAATAATTCCTCTTTTACTGCTCTCTTCCTTTCACCGGAATGTTGTTGCTCAACAGAAGATCAAAAACAATTCGAGGGAATATTGAATTCATCTAGTAAAGCACTTCGAGATGAACTCACTTCCAAAAGTACATTTAATTTCTTCTTCTGTGTCTGAATCTAAATATATATATATACACACTAAAGATAGTAAACTGTTGACGTGCAGGTATTTCCTTTAAGATGCCTTTATATAATGAAGAATATGATGAATATTTTGATCAGGTTGGAACTCTTGATGAAAATGACCAAGACCATAAAACGGAGAGAAAGCGCAAGAGAAGGTAACGAGTTTTATTCTCCTATGATCCATAACATGCGAATACACTTAGCGTATATTGTATGTAATTATCTTTTAAAGAGATGTAGGTGGTGAACACGAGTCGCTACTCATTATCGATGGAATCAAATCGGTACATGCTCTCTTTAAATACTTGTTGGAATGGAAAGAGCCTGCATATTACAATCGAGCCAAAGGATTCCCGACACTCCTCGCATCGCACGCTTTTCGGCATGCCGATGAGAAAGAAGCAACAGTTTATTATCTAATTCTTTTTAACTTAATACTTTTTCATTTTAAGAAGAATAATACATATCTTAATTTATTATCTAGGCTGTGAATAAAGGAGCCGTTAGCTACAACAATTCAGAAAAGTACACAGTTGAATTGAAAGGTTTGCTATTACCGAGTCAACAAACGTATCTACGCCAAGTGATGACCGATATTCACGGACTAGATATTGATTGGCACTCAAAGTCACTTTCTATCAGTCAAAATTTGGAAAAATTGGAAAGAAAATTCCTTACGTTTTCTTGAATGGTTTTATTTAAAGCTTGATTTTTTATGAAGTTATTTGTTAATAGGATACAGGAATAAAGTATATAAAATATTATTTGAGACTACGTCAGGGTTTGATTTAGCGACTATGCGATTTGGAATTAAAATCTTGATTTAACGATGGCTTTACTCAAAACATATGAATATCATTAAATCTCCCATGAATGGGAATAAAGATCCTGATATATCGTTAAATTGAGCCCTGACTATTTATTTAAATTAAGCACGTAATTTTTTTTGATGTTGATTGATATTCAATTTAATATATTTGATGAATCTTTTTTATAATTACAAATTACACAATAAATGTCAAAAAAATTTACACATAATACTGATTAGCCTCTAAATTTTTCGCGATTTCCGGTTCCCATTTATCACCATTCGCTAGCAACTTCTCCTTATTATACAAAAGTTCTTCGCGCGTTTCTGTAGCATATTCAAAGTTTGGTCCTTCGACAATAGCATCAACTGGGCATGCCTCCTATTAATAATTTATTATTTAAATAATCCGATTAAAGATAGAATGCAAGCAATAATCAAGAAAAGTTAAACAATACCTGACAGAATCCACAATATCTGAATTAAAAGAAAAGAATTAATAATCTTCGATTAAATCAAAATGCGAAAAATGATTTATTTATTTCGCAGTAACACGTACATGCACTTTGTCATATCAATATCATAACGAGTGGTGCGACGACTGCCATCTTCTCTCGTTTCAGCTTCAATAGTAATTGCTTGTGCGGGACAAACAACCTCGCAAAGTTTACAAGCAATACATCTAATAAAATAAAATAAAATAAAATAATTTTATATATAGCTCGTGATCAAGAAATATATAACAATAATCTACCTTTCCTCGCCTACGAGATAATAAAATATTCAATAAAGCAGATCAATAAATAAATCAATCAAATTTAAACCAGGCCAATAAATTAAGTACCTGTTGGATACCTCCTTAAAGCATGCTCTCCCCGAAATCTAGGGCTCAAAGCACCTTTCTCATATGGATAATATATGGTATACGGGGGACGAAAGAAATTCTCCAACACGACCCACATACCCCGAAAAATTTCCGTCAGGAAGAAAATCTGTGCAGTATTCTCTATTAATGACGGTTCTTTGAATACATATTCTTCAGAGGCTTTTTTGGATGGTGGTGGTGACTTTTGTTGTTGTGAAGGTTGTGGTTGTGCAGATACGTACTTTAGGTTCGAAGTATTTGAGAATCGAGCAAATTGGGAGCCTAGAGGGGCAATTTTCGAGAATTTTGGGACTGCACCATGTTTGACGAAATTAATGCATTTTGGATTAAAATTTACCGCAAAGTCTATTAAAAATTCTGCTTACGATTTGTTGCTCGAGTTTTATACAAGGAACGGTGTACCAAAGGTCTCAATTTGTACATTTCGCAAAATTCGATAGTGTCAGGAAGAAATCGTATTTAAATTTGTTATTGACTTTACATGTGACTCATTTGTAATACAGAGAAAACTTTGACTAATTTAATTTAAGATGATGTGTTGTTGACATATTGTTGGTAGATTTTTTTAAAATCGGAATTTGCAATTTCCCAACGATAGGGCGACGTAAAATATAATATAATAAAATGGTAGCGTTACATTTTCTTTTTTCAACTTCTACGTGCGTTAATGAATAAATTCTTTTGACCACACTAACATTAATTATTTTAGTCGACCTTATATGATCAACATGCTCTTGAAACACAACATGAGGATATGATTGTAAGTCTCGTGTTCTTTTCATGTATTTCGATTTTTATCAAGTTAATTTTCAATAAAATCAAAGACAATTCAAAACAGTAATAATTGATTTCAATATTAAAGCATGATGCACAACTTGATTACTATGGCAAGAAATTGGCAACTTGCTCTTCCGACCGTTCTATTAAAATATTCGAAATTGACGGAGAAAATCGACGACTAGTTGAAACATTAAAAGGGTATTCATTAAAAAGCCAGCTAATGATTAAGTCATCATCATCATCATCATCATCATTGTATATTTGATTATGTAGTCACGAAGGTCCCGTATGGCAAATTGCTTGGGCACATCCAAAATTCGGAAATATACTCGCTTCATCTTCATATGACTCCAAAGTAATTATTTGGAAAGAACAAAACGGAAATTGGTCAAAGATTAAGGAGCATTCGATGCATACAGCATCTGGTAAATTGTTGTTTTGACGCCACATTTAATATCGATCAATGATCTATATAATAAATTTTTCTAAACTCGAAGTAAATTCGGTTGCATGGGCACCTCATGACTTTGGTCCTATCCTTGCGTGTGCCTCTTCTGATGGAAAGGTCTCTGTGCTCACATTCAAAGGTAATTGGTTTTGAATGATTGAAATTTTATAGGATAAACAATACTAAACTCGTTTTTCTTTAATTAAATAGATGATGGCACATGGGATGCTCGTATATTTGAGGCTCATGGTATAGGTGCAAATTCCGTTAGTTGGGCACCCGCTACAGTACCCGGATCACTTGTCCAGGTAACTGGCGGTGCGCCAAATTTGAAACAGTCTAAAAGATTTGCATCAGGCGGATGTGACAATTTAGTCAAAGTTTGGGCTTACAGGTTACAAATTTAATTTCTCATTGTTATCTTTTTTACAATAAAAAATAACAATCATAATATATGTCTAAAAATAAAAGAGAGGAATCTGATTCGTGGACAGAAGAAGATAGCCTCGAAGGTCATTCCGATTGGGTACGTGATGTGGCTTGGGCTCCAAACATCGGTTTACCAAAAAGCTACCTTGCCAGTTGCTCACAGGTAAAAAGTTGTTTTTTATTTGATTATTCTTTTTAAACATATCACTGTTTTACGATGCCACGATATCTACAAAAATAAAACAGGACAAAACAGTACTTATTTGGACTCAGGATAATTCAAAATCAGATTGGAACAAGAAATCTCTTCAACCAGAACGTTTTCCTGATGTCGTCTGGCGAGTCAGCTGGTCATTGTCGGGAAATATATTAGCGGTGTCCTGTGGTGATAATAAAGTCTCGTTATGGAAGGAAAATCTACGTGATGATTGGGAAATAGTCAGCGAATTAACGGATCAATGAATAAATTAATAAATTGAGAGAATTACAAACAATTTAATGATGAAAACAAATATAAAATTATTTAAAGTAGAAAAATAGAGTGTATAAAGATTTTTGAGGCTAAATTAACACATTTCTGGAATTATCTTATGTTTATTTTGGCCTGATTTATATACTTTTCTTAATATTTTCCCTTCCAACTCCGGAAATGCCAATTATACTATTATTGTTGTATTACTATTATTACTATTATATTATCTATAGTTAACCAAAGAAATGTCCATACATTAGATATTTTGAAAGTTATCGATATATATATGCAAGAGGTCTATTAACGTTAAGAAGAAATATTTCCTTCTTCAGTTTAATCAATTGCGCGTGAATTTCCCGTAGATATGTAGAATAAACACAGAACCGATGAATGCAAGCGATAAAACAACGACCACGACAGGATCTCTATTTGTGTTGTAAATCACACAGACATGGAATTAGTATGCGTTTTAAGAGAAAATCGTAAATAAGATTTATGAAACTTACACTTTAAGACCAGGTGCGTCGTCAGTGTACATTTTCAGCATGTTTGATGAGCCGCCTCCGGCGCGCGATACTGGTCTTGAACTATTACTAGAACCACCACCAGTTGTACGTTTCCTAATAAAAACAAGGAGTAAGTACCTTTTAAAAAGACGCATAAATGGGCAATCTTTAGCTCGGTGAAAAGACGATTATTTTACCTGACTACTCCTCTTGGAGCTCCAGCAGGTGCATCAGCCTAATTACGATAAAATTTATCAAAGTTAAAGATATGTGATGATGCAACTTCTACCACTTGAAATCGATAAAGGTAGGGATACTAACCATTTTTTCCTGAAACTAAAGAAATAAAAATGGCAGAGGATTGAGAGTAAAAAGATGTATATTCAACAAGTAAAGGGAAAGAGACGATTGATTGAACTGAGAAATGAAGGCTTTTTGGTTTGTGCTAGAAAAGAATTTAGGAATATTTATAGTAAACGATAACCCAATGTGAATCAACGAAATTTATTAGACACGGGTCTACTCGTGATTGGTAAAAATTTCTCGCGTCGTGTGTATTATTGGATCATGTGAATTACTTTAATAAATATATTTATTTCAATCATGTTTTTCGGATAATATTAACCATAACCTTACTACTACTCAAAATTATTAGTCCTATTAAAAAGCAATCCAATAACTTTTCGATATAATAATCCAAATATTTCTCATGAACCCCTATCATCAAATTGAATTCGTCCTTTATGCCAACCTTTAGGTGTTGGACTATTAGGTGGGCGTTGGTCGGTAGATGATGATTTAAAGGATACGGGCATACCACGAGTCCATGGACTGGGTGATGAAGGTTGGGATGGAGGTCTCTGATTTAATTGGGATGACATAAATTTGACAGGACTACCTGAAGTCCAAACACCCCGTGCGGTAACTGGATTTGAAGGTGTAGGCATTTCTGATGCAGGAGGTGCAGATGGCTGTGGTTGCTGTTGATTTGAAATACTCATGGAGGAGAACGAATTCGCAAGATGCCTATACATAATGGATTTGTGAGAAAAGTGCCGTAATAATGAGATTCTAAAAACGAAATCTTAAAACTGACTCTAGATGATTGTCTGCATAATGTTGTCGAGTCTCTACGAATTTTTGACAAGCATTCTTCCATTCAGTGAGAGGAATTTCAAAGGTTCGATAAAACTATTTTCGATGCAATAAAAAAATTCGTTAAATTCTATTCAATATAAGTAACACGCACTCTCTTCTCTCTATTATTATATACCTGTTCACCTTCTCTCAGATTTTTAAGTAGTTCTTTATATTTATCGTATCCAGCTTCCAGATTTTGCAAGGCCTTAACACGTCCCGTGTTAGCATCTGAACGTTGCCGTGATTCCAGCAAAAGTTGATTTAATTCCTAAAAGAATATCCCGCTTAAATAAAAAGCATATAAATTAGCAGGGAATAAATTTGAAATCAACTTACTATAATCGCATTAATCAACTTTTCTTGGCTCTCAGTCTCTTGTGTTACCATTTGCAGGAAAGGGTCATATCTCGCTAAACGCTGTGTGAAAAAGTCTTCGAAATGTGCAGACTCGATCTTGACTCCGATGCCTTTTGAGGTTATTTTAGCAGCTTCCTTCCGAAGATCAGGTCCTTTATTTGAAAAGTTAGCTTTATAATTGCAACAATTCCATCATTATATTGATTATACTTGCCAATATCGTCCGAATGTCCAAACTTTTGAGCTTCTTGAATTCGTTCTTTTCGAACATTCATCAACCGCAAGGCTTCATTGTATAAATTCCGAAGTTCGCTTGCACTGGGATCTTCAGCTTGTCCCTGACTTGAAGGAACTGCACGGACTAATTCTTGCTATTTTTTTTTTATTTTAGAATTATTAATAAAAAAAAATTTTATCTGGAAAAAATAGTTGCTTTCTACCAACATGACTTGTCCCAAGTAAATCTATTATGGTTGACCAATCGTCCAATTTCTTTTTTATAGCACTATCCCCATTTCGAGCAAGATTCAATGCATCGCGATGTTTGACCCCTTGTGAAACAAGTTCCTGGTTTACTGATTCGGAAGGAGGGAGTTTCCATTGTTCTGGGTATAATTCCCGTTTTTCTTCATCATCAGCCATCTCTTGATCTAATAACGCAAAGGCCTAATAGATAAAGTACTACATGTAATAAATAATGATTAAGAAATCTTTTATTCAAGAGATAAAGAACACAATCTTGCCTCTTCTAGGATTGCGGTATCTTTGCTTTCTAGCTCTTGTACGTTATAAAGTCTTTCCTTCAAAAATTCAAGTCCGCCAGAACTCCTAACTTCATTGGACTTTTGAATTAAGGATGATGGCAATCCAACCGGTTGTTCTAGTATTTCTAGTGATCCCGGCAACTTCAAAGATTGCAGCATACTAAAAACGATACCAATCAAATTAATACATTCTGTTCGTCAGAATATACAGAAGGCGCAGAATAAAATTCGAATTTCTGATAAAATGGCGAACCTTTTACAAATGCTTGTCAGCTCGTGTAGCTTGCCAACGATTTCGTCCCGCACTAAAGTATCTTTGCGATCCGAGTATACACTAATTGCTTGATGGACCGCGAAAGGAACGAGTTTTACAAACAATGGTTCACCCAATATTGATCTTTCATTCATCATGGAAATTGGATCTTTGATTTCGGGCGGCAAAGTCGCGCTGACCATCTTAGCACGCCCAATTGGAGGTAATGATGAAGCTGAAGGAATAGAATGTAAATAGATGATGTCATTGTCTTTTTCAGCTCGAATCAAATTGTCATTTATTGGTTTCTCGAGTGACTATTTGGACAAAAAAGAAATTATATTTAAGTCGGAATCGATTCGAACATCAAAAAGCGTGGTAAATCAAATATTAACCTTCAAGTCATTTATCACGGAATCTCTTAGATACTTTTGCTGGATTAATGCGCGTTTTATCAATCCTTCGGCGACTTTTAATCTCGCTATTTCGTCTCCATATTTATTTTGACTAATATTTTCTGAGGATTTGCGGAATTCTGATCCTGCAAAAAAATGCCAGGATTTAACTTGGAGATGCGTGATTAATTCCTATAATAAGCAAATGTTTTGAATTAACAAATAACCAAAATTAAATTAAATTCAGAATTCTTAGTACCAGTCCCATCAGCTTTCCAATCTCCGGATCAGTGGTACTTAATTCATGAGCTGCTTCATAAAAGTCCGCAACCTGACCTGCCAATTTCGCGATAGTTCCATCTTTTAATTTGTCTTGTATGTTAAGAAATTTATTTAGAAATGATATAGCTTTAAAAATATCAAAAAATCACGCAAGTCTCTGAAAACTACCATTCACAGCTTTTTGCCAAAAACATTCCTGAGCTTGTGCCAACATTAAATTCACCAGACAATTGAGCACGGGCGTTGTCATATCTAAAGGGGGCGGTGACCTCATTTCTGGCACAACTACATCATTTAAGTAGCTAAAACATCCAGCGGCACACTGAAAATGCTGACTGGCCTTTTTTACCCCGGCTGCGGAGAATCTATTTTCAGAGACGCCAAGTTGACTATACATGGCGGCAATATTAAACAGTACACAGGCTTTTTCGTAACAAAAATTCCTGTGTGCGACTAAGAAACATAAAGATAAATTTGTCGTCGATAGAAAATATCTCTTAATGAATGGCATACGATGATGATGATCCAAAACATACTGAGTTTTTTGTCTTCAGAAAATGCCAGGGACCAAGGAAATTCAATGCCTACCTAAAACATTAGACAGATTCAAATTAGATCAAGATAATTTCAACAGGAAAATACGCCAATTTTCTGGCCTACGTCTATTGGAAATTTGGAGCCAATGAACACTAATTGACCGTAATATCTAATTTCCAACGAATAAATAGCATTTTTGCATTATTATGTGTGAAATCTAAAGTCAAAAGTCAACGATATTAAATATCAAAAATTTACTTGAGGAGTCGGTTTAATGCATTGTAATGCACTTCCAAATTCAGACAATCACTTCTCAATTCATCGAGGACGCGGAAATCATCAGTGTACGCGTCTGGGTGTTCTGCATAAGAAAACTGTATATAATCACGGAGTGTACGCGTTAAGCCAATGCGTTCTGTGCGCTTAAAATCGATGAAAACAATGTTAGGTAAGCCCATAGTCTGTTATTTGAAAGCTCAAAATCGAGTCCAAACAACTAACTACTCAATTTATCAAATGGCGATCATAAATAATATGGTGTTTAACACGGAGAAGTTTGTACAACACGAGTCACGGGTAGTAATACGATTATTTATTTGACGTTAAGTGAAAAAGGACCATACTCCCACACTCCCTACCTTCCATATATGGGTGAGGCTAATGTGGAGTAATAACAAGCCACAATTAATGCCACCACAATTAAATTAACCAATCAAAAATTGAGAAAATGACTCCAATTATCCGCGTTCTTCTTATGACAATTCTTTATTTTTTTTTGATGACAATTACAATTGGAATTGCTTACATTCCTTCCAAAGAATCACTCAAACACCTCAACCAAAACCATAAAGTAAAAGAATATTTACTACCAATGACACTTGAGGAACCCACTAACCCCAATACGCTATTACTACTTCCCCCCTTCCCAAAAAAAATCATAGCGAACACCCGGAGAAAGCAATCCACCTCACTAAATATATGATCGAGCGCATGGAATCTGCAAAAGCAATTATAATAGTCCGTTACTATGGGAAGGTCGGAGTATTAACCAGCGTTACCCACTTCCACCACGCAATTCACACAACCAATAGAAGGGAACACCCAACTCCACGCAGCTCACACAACCAATAGAAGGAAACACCCAACTCACCACAAAAGTCAGAACCTGGAGAAAGTTAAAGATATTTGTAATGAACGACCGATAGCCTCGACGTGAAAGAAAAATTGGAAATGTACCATGACCTAAAGAAATTTGTGATAAAACAGATGCAAAAATTTGAAAATGGTTACTATAGTCATGGAAACTTACACCTAACGGCCAATGAAAGCTCTCAATCCCCATAGAGAACATATTCGGTTGGCTGTGCGAAACTACGAAATTACTAACGCGAAATGTCAACGAAAAAATCATTTTTATATAATTTTATTGATTATTGTTATTGCTATCGTTATACATATTAAAAATCAAACTAATTAAACTCATTGATCAATCATGATATTACTATAACGTTAAATGTAATGTATTTAGAGCGCGTTAGATTTTCTTATAAAATAAATAAAGAAATGTATTAAAAATTACTTTACCTTCTATATTATCGAATAAGATGTATACCGGTTCATTTTTTTTTCAGGAGAAGGCGGAAGAGCTTCGCATTGAGGTGAACTTCGTTTGCGTTCTCTAGGCATTTCTCTTGTCACTGGTTTATACGATGATATGATTTCACTAATTTGCCGCATTGATTCTGTTTGAGAAAGATCGTGAAATAATTGTAAAAGGTTATTAATGTTTTTTCTATCATCATCTTTCGTGAGCTCGGATAAATTGCCTGCCAGTTGTTCTAAATTTTTCAGAATGTTCCGCCCATCATTAATAAAACCCGTAATGGACATCCTGGTAGCAATATATTCATGCTGCCAAATTGAAAGATGGTTGATATCGGCAAAGGAGGAAAGATACAAGTCTTGGGTAGGATTATTAACGTATCGTGATTCTGCTTTGTCAGATTCACAAATTTCTTTGCCATAAACTTTTACTAATTCGACATGATTTATTTTTTTGAGATAATATTGTTGCAGATCTGAATCTTCATCAAACTCGGTCTCAATACTGCTGTCCCCATCACACGAACCTTCCGAACCCTCTTCATCAAAGATAACATGATCAATATCATGTACCGTGACAATTTCTTCGAAAGTTGGTAATTTCACGTCCGGTAGCTTAAACTTTTCTTTTCGTTCCGGATCATTTATGAATATCAATGCTGCTCTTATATGTTTGCAGGCTCCTCCTCGAGATAAAAAATCAAGGCATTGACATGACGTGGAAGCAGGTGGCATTAAT